CCTAGTGTCTCTGTGAGAAAGGCTGAGTGGTCCTTTCATAAAAAAGGTTTGTCACAGGCAAGCTGTTCCACCTCTCATCTGCAGGCCTTTAACCACTGCTCTGGACGGTAAGACGCCTTTAAAGTGGCCATTTTTCTACCCGAGTGCCTAGAAAATTCATCTCCTGTCACAGGCAGTGTCCTGCCTTCTTTGGCCTTGGGAGAGAAACAGGACAACTGGGGACAGAAAGGCCCCCCTTAGAAACCCCTTTTCTCTGAGTGAGGCGAAAACAGATGGGAGGGGAGAGCGGAGGGCTCCCTCTTCTACCCCCTAGATCTCCCTGTCCTGGAGCAGGAGGTGACCAGTCACACCCGTAGCCCCCCACCACGCGGCCGACCCGCTACTGCAAACGGCTAACGGCTGCCGGGGAGGGGGCGGGACAAAAAGGAAGAACAGCCACGCCCCTCCCTCAGCAACGGCCGCTGGCAGGCCGTCCTGCTCTGAATGACAACCTCATCCGCCAATCAGAGAGCTTCATCGGAGAGGCTTCCCCGCCGGGCGCTGCCGCGACTGTTGGGGGTTGTGGTTTTGTGCGCGGAGGTGCTCTGCGCACGCGCAGGAGGGAAGGGCGGGCTGCGGGAGTGGGGCTGCGTTAAACGGCCGTTGGGCGGGCCGGGGAGAAGGGCGGGAGTTGTTCTGTGTTGCCGGCGAGATGGGGCGCCTCGCAACTGCCTGGCTAGGACCAAAGGGACGCCCTACCTCCCTCTTTGTGCTTCTCTGCACCTTAAAGATGATGTGGTTCCCATTGCAGAGTCAAAGAGGGCCTTTGAGCTCAAGGTCTGTGAGAACTACCCTCGCTCATCCCCCGCGTAGCCTCCTTCATCGCCCCATGATGCCTGGTCCTCGCTACCAGCCTTGGAGAAGGACGGCTGGGAGGGAGTGAAGTGCTGGGGCAGCTTTGCCTTCGTTGTTGTTGGATGCTCCTAAATTCACATTAGGATTGTCTGGATGTGAACTGCTGCAGCACACTGAGAGGAAAAACACACTTTGGCTCTTAGCATGCTGTAGTGTTCAGGGTGTTGTGAAGTTGCTGTTGCCTCCTCGCCCTCCTAGACCGCTCACTGGAGGGACGAGTGTGCCTAGGCAGTCTCTGCTCCTTTCACAGACAGGGACTGAGCTCCGGGGCGCCTTGGGATGTGTGGGAACAAGCATGTCTCCACACGCAGGCTGTGCCACTCACTCACACGCGCTCCCTGCGGCTTGAGGAAGGACGGGACCCAGCCCGACTTCCAGCCTGGAATAACCTTTGCATGCTCCACTGGCCTCGTCCCCGTGACTCAGGGCGGCTGGCGGGACAACCCCGTTCCTTCGGCGCCTTGGGTGCCTGGTGCCCAAGGGCCTAAAGGCGTCAGACGGCCTATAGTGCTCGGGGTGCCCAAAACGCCTTGCAGCTCGCTGGCTCCCCTCAGAACCTCAGCGCGCCCCCTCAGCGGGGCTGACGCTAGCGCCTAGGCCCAGCTGAT